GGTAGGTAATGAGTAATTGAACTGCAGTCAGAGAGTGTGTAATTGAATGTATGCAGACAAAATATTGTTGGCCACGTGAGACGTGAATTATAGTGTCTGTTATAGAGCGACTGTTGAAATTAAGTGTATCGTAAAGTTGTATTCGGAAAGAATAAACCAGTTTTATTTAAGAAAGGACTTGTGTTGCTAAAGTTTCATCGGAACGAATTTACGGAAAATTAACTAACGACTGGAGGCGTAACAATAATTTGATTTCTAAATCGTACGAAGCTGTAGTCTTAGTATTTTGACATCATAAACATCTAATTTGAACCAGTGCTGCATTCAACATACGTCATGATACACAAACATTGATGTTTATCTGTTTACTTTTAAATTAGGAAATTGAGTAATGTATAGTTCTAAAATTTGAATTATAATCTACAGTTGGATACCAAACTTATTGACATAAATTCATGAAATAGTAGTTCAATAAAATTTTGAATGTGAATCAACAAACGAGATGACACTACCTTTCACCTGTGACCCGTCTTGAGCAGGTTAATTGGAAATTTGTTATTCTATAAAGATTCTCATTTCCTGTCTTGGAGATTTATGTCAATAAGTATAATTAGGCTGCATTCTGTAGGTTATTTTGGTATTTGATATCGAAAACACGAATTTGTGACATTTGTAATCTTGTTCTATACCATCACCTGAGAATGAGGCTAAAATGACCCAAAATTCACCACATTACATCTTGCATGTGACTTCTTGGCTGTTTTGGAAGCTTCTTTAATTGAGACCTTATTGCCTATTTGACCAGGGAACCCCTTTGTTGCTTTGTTAGCACTCAGTGACTAACATATTTGGATCAAACAATGGATTTAGAAAGATTTGTTACATAGTTTACTCTTGTATGTAGTCATAATCTTCAACAAATGTATCTGGGTCCAAATGGGTGTACGAGGATCACACCAGAGTTTTGTTGGCTGTGATTGAACAACATATTTAGCCTGACTATGAGGGTAAAAGAATCGCATTGATGCTTTGTTGGCCCTCCTTAATCAACATATTTATACTAACTATGAGTGTATTAGTGAACTGTCTGTTTGTGTTTATGATTGGTCTACAAGTTTGATTTATGAATGTTGAGTCACTTTTGGTTCCCTCAATGTTATTTACAATTCAAGTCAATGCCAATGTAGTGGAACATTGCCCTTATTCACCTGGTAAAAAGCCTGGTCTTTTCCCAAGTTCTCTTGTCTTATGTTTTTGAGGAACGGGAATTATAAAGTGACCCTATCTTCATGGCACTTTTTAGTTTATCACTCGGGTGTTTGTTAATACACATATTTGGCACATTTCTGTAATACAAGAAGGGGTGGTATTCTAATGTGACTTAATTTTCATGTGTCTGTGAGAATTCCTTAATAACAGCAGGTTTGAATAGAAAAGTTAGAGTAATTGTAATTGAAAAGTTAACTGAGTTTTGTACCTCTATCAGAAATTAAGGACACTGGACACTCAGAATATAGTTCCACAGCTTTCCATCTCTGGAGACTGATTTCTGTACAACTATATTCAAGCATGAACTGGGTTCAACTGAGAAAAAAAAAATTAATGCTTCAATCATTGAATAAAACTTGTATCCTTTCTCTTTTGATGGCTTCATGATATTTATGGTTTCCCACCTCAGCATGTTCATCCACAAATAGCATTTTGAGATGTCAGAGACATGACATCGATCCTGCAATGGATGTATCATAGTTCTTGTAATGATAAGGGTACACCATATGCTTGATTTTAACATTCATTTATTCCTTTACTCAGTGTTCCCATTGCAATGATGTTGCATTCAAAGAACCACCTGACTCTTTTACTTCTTCCTGGATGTCTACTGACTTAACTGCTTGCATGAATTTCTCCACTTGACAGTTTTGGATGATGGGTAGTTTTAAATTCAGACATATGTCTACTCTGTAATTACTGTTCTTCTCCATTGAGAGCATTCTTCTACCAGTTAAAGGAAAATGCTTTGCTCTGTTACCCTGGCTACCTGTTTAATCATCATTTAGGACTAGAACTGATAATGTGTTTAACAGTCCAGGTATATTTTCAGAACCTCCCTTTTGCTGAAAGTCAGTTCTTTTTCATGCACTTGTATGACAAGTAAGAAGTTATAGAAGAAGCCTGTTCTTAAAGATATATTGTGTTAATTTTGATTATCATTTATTTTAAACATAAATTATATTGAATCTTGTTATAGACTAACCAACATGATTTGTACTTCTAGCTCCAGAAAAAGTTGATTCCTTGGAAGAAAGTTTTCTACATACTGGTTTGAAGTTTGGTAAAACAAAAGAAAACAAAGAAACAAATTGTGATGTAGCATCAGAGAAAATTGAGGTAATTAAACTTTTTACAGTTGTGTTATTAAAGAAAATGTGTAGCTGTAATTATGTCTTTCTGGAATTTGTTTGTTTGGCATATAATCAGTGATGACATGTTTGTAGTCACGAGCCGAAAAAATTCACTACAAGTTTGTTGCATTGTTGTGAATAAACTTATTAGAGCTCTTGTTACAGTAGTAATATTGCTAGTCCAGAAGTATTGTAGTGCACACCAGAATGTAAACATGTTTTAACAAAATCATATAATAGATAGAACACTTGCCAAGTTTTTATATTTTTATTTAAAGAAGAATGAAGTTTTGAGCTAGCTCTCTTCATCAGATTATACAGCTTACAACATGCACAGAATTCAAAGAAATTACATATATAATATTTGGAATGTTGAACGCGAAATGTTTGTACAAAATTACATCTGTTTCATAAAAATAATAAGTCATTAAAAGATAAAACAAATAAAATTTAAACAAAAAAATGGTAAAATCTACAAGAAAGATCAACAAACAGATCTGTGGAGTCACTATGGGGGACTAAAATGGTCCCCACCTTTGCAAATCTCTTTATTGCATACACCAAAAATCTTATATTTATGGATTACATCCATGCCTAAATATGGTTTAAAAACTTTTCTGCACTTTGTTTCCTCTTGCCACCTCTCTTTGAAGTTTACTTGGGAATATCCAACACAACACTCCCCTTTCTGGACATTAACATATACATACAAGATGACCATCTGACCAATAATATACATAACGAAGAAACCGATTCACACACGTACCTACTTTAACCTATACATACAAGATGACCATCTGACCACCAGTATATATTACAAAAGACACATTCACACACATACCTACATTAACCTATACATACAAGATGACTATCTGACCACTGGTATATATTACAAAGAAACACATTCACACACAAACCTACATTTCAAATCTTCCCACTTGTACAGTATCCAAAAGTCAATTCCTTAAAATTTCTATGACTGTATAAACTACATAGTGATGATAATCATTATAAATCTGGATCCAAAGTGAAAACTTGTTTTTCTAAAAGGCTCTACCTTGATTCTATCATCCATGATGCAGCCACCTAAGCTATCTCATAAACCCAGGAGAAAACACTTAACCCTACCAAGAAATAATGAACCGATCATGTTCCGTATGTGTTAACATACCATCAGACCAACAACAAGATCAAAGATAATATACTAAACAATTACACAATACTTAATGAAGACCCTACCACTAAATCTCTTTTCAAGGACACACCCATTATTTCTTAAAGGTATGAGAAAAACTTGAAAAAAAAATCCTGGTGCAGAATAATGACAAACAAAAGGACACACCCATTATTTCTTAAAGGTATGAAAAAACTTGAAAAAAAAATCCTGGTGCAGAATAATGACAAACAAAAGGACACACCCATTATTTCTTAAAGGTATGAAAAAACTTGAAAAAAAAATCATGGTGCAGAATAATGACAAACAAAAGGACACACCCATTATTTCTTAAAGGTATGAAAAAACTTGAAAAAAAAAATCCTGGTGCAGAATAATGACAAACAAAAGGACACACCCATTATTTCTTAAAGGTATGAAAAAACTTGAAAAAAAAAATCCTGGTGCAGAATAATGACAAACAAAAGGACACACCCATTATTTCTTAAAGGTATGAAAAAACTTGAAAAA